AAAAAAGTTAGTTAATGAAATAATATATCAGATGATCTGCATTCTGTAAGAATGTGTGCGTGTGTGTATGTCAGTCTGTGAGTGAGGGTGTGGAGGGGAGAGAGAGAGAGAAGAGAAAAGCACACCAAACATTAATATTAACAATGCTTTCTTTGGGGTGGCAGGATAGTGGAATTAGAGTGATTTTTACATTTATCCCTGAGCGTTTCTATATTTTTCAAAATTTCTAAACAAATATCCTCCCATGTATTATTTGTGTAAAAAACAAACAGGGAGCTTCCCACTGCAAACAGGATCAAGGCTAATTTCCTTTGTCTAACACCCTATCCTTATTTAACTTTTGTATCTCTTCTTTCCTGCCTTCCCTTTGCCCCCAGAACAATTTTACTCACACACCCTTTTACTGACACACTTCTTCGTCCTGGGATTGATCTCCACTTCAGGAAATCTTACAACCATGTTCAGAGCAAGGCCCCCTTCCTTTCACGAACTAGCCTTGCACAGCAGCTCTCAGACTCTAGGGCAATGACCTGGCAGTTAATCAAGCAGAACTGGTAACATCTCTACCACGGTTGACTTCAACCGTATTTGATTCTCTTTTAACTTTTTGTATGTTTTTGTTCTTCTCTTCAACTCGATTATAAGCACTCTTTGTATTTTTCATCAAGTCTAGTGCAACAGAGTAGTTATCTGTGGTAGACAAAATAATGGTCCCCCAAAGATATCACCTGTAAGCAAGTGACCAGAACCTGTATGTGAGGTTAGATGGCAAAGGGGAATTCATACTGCAGATGGAGCTAAGGTTGCTAATCAGGTGACCTTAAAATAGGGAGAGTATCCTGGATTATCCAGCTGGGACTAATGTAAGCACAAGAGTTCTTAAGTGGAAGAGATGGATGGAAGAGGTCAGAGGAGGAGATGTGATGACGGAAGCAAGGCTGGAGTGATGTGCTCTGAGAAGGGCTCAACTCTTCACTGCTGGTTTTGAAGATGGAAGAAGGAGAAGATGGAAGAAGGAGGCCACGTGCCCAGCAAGGCAGGCAGCCTCTCGAGGCTGGAAATGGCAAGGAAATGGATTGTCCCTTAGAGCCTCCGGAAAGGAATGCTGCCCTGCTGACACCCTGGATTTCTGTCCGGTGAGATCCATATTTTTTTTTTTTTGCGTTACGCGGGCCTCTCACTGTTGTGGCCTCTCCCGTTGCGGAGCACAGGCTCCGGACACGCAGGCTCAGCGGCCACGGCTCACGGGCCAAGCCGCTCCGTGGCATGTGGGATCCTCCCGGACCGGGGCACGAAACCGTGTCCCCTGTATCGGCAGGCGGACTCTCAACCGCTGCGCAACCAGGGAAGCCCCTGAGATCCATATTTTAACCTAGATAAATTTCTGTTGGTTTAGGTCGTTCAGTTTATGGTGATTTGGTCCAGCACTGACAGAAAATTAATACAATGTTAACTATTATTTTCTTTCATTCACATTAAAATCAAGAGAGATAAAACCAAAGTTGTTGAAATAATAAATTTAAAACTATACATTCTGAGGAAGTCTACCTTAATCACCCCAAATGCCTCTCATTATTTCTTCATTTCTCCTTATGCCTATGTGTTTGATGTATTATCGCTTATCATTTGTTGCTACTTTATTTTATAATTGTGTTAATACCATTTCATGGGCATATATATTTTTCCTCTGATTCAAAAGGGCTCTTCAGAAGCACGGACCATGTATTTATTCTCTAGGTATTTGCTGCCAGTGGTAGCAGATTTTATTCTATAAATGTCTGATTACTAACATCTTACATTATGGGTTACTTAAGGCAGACCATGTCCTCAGCTTTCTGCAGCATACTTCTCAGAAATGTTTTAAAAAGTTTAATTTCAGCCTTATACATAAGCACCCTAAAGCCCGTAAAAAATCTGACCAGATTAGTCAACATTTAGAAAGTGGACTTAATACACTTTAATTCCACTGGATTTGTCCCATAAAATTTAGTGAGGTTTTATGTTTTTCTAGAATTTTACGGTTGACAATTTCAAGAACGGTATATATCTTTACCCTTACAGGCTGTAAGACTGGGGAATTGAGGTAGGAAGATGTCTGGTCCAGACTGGGAGAGAAAGGAGACAGTCTGGACATCCCCAAATCTTGAAGAGACCTGGGTACAAAGAAGGCTCCAGTGTGGAGGGTGGAGTGGGCACAGGGGCTGGACCTGAAAGGGACTATTTGGACGGTAGTCTATTTCTGTGTTGAGTATCAAAATCAGCATAGACCTTCTAATAAACTAGAATTGTCAGGCTACTCTTGGAAGCCATTGCTAAAATTTCTAAGCTCTACCAGAATTAAAGAAAAGTAACCAAATAAATAAGCAGTCAGTTGGAAATGAGAGGATTTGGCATCATCGTAACCCTGGGGGAAGAAATAAAAGCTGATGTGTAAATGGGGTTTTGGGCAAGTAACCACATGGCCAGATGCCCTTCTCCCAGAGGTAGGCCCAGCCCAAGGCCTTCAAGTCAGTTTCTGTTATCTGGCCCTGAGAAGCCTTAAAAAAGGTGCTTACCCTGATTTCTCCAAACATAAAATTGGGGCAGTGGGATTTGCCATTTCTGTGTAGTCTAGGCCTGTGGTGAGGATTAATTAGTGTTTTTAAAGTGCTGTGGGTTTGGTTTGGTTTATTTATTTTCTCAGGACGAAAGCCAGTACGCCAGCACCAAGTGTTAACAGCGAAGGTTTGATGTATGTTACTTGAGATGCACTGTGTGAAGTGGGGCGGATGGGAAACGAAGCTTATGGGACTGCCTTCGGCATCAAAAAGGCCACATTTCCAAACCCATTTAGTACTCCCCAAAGTGAAGGAGGCAGAATAAAAGCCTTTGAAAATTAAAAAGGAGAAAAGTTATCTGTGTTTAGGCTCTGGGATTGAGGGTATGTACCAACCCAGACCAAGGAAAATTTGACGAGCTGCTACAGAAAAATATTGGCAGCTAGAGAGGACACAAAATTCTGCTAATTTTGTGACAAGCTGTAAAATGAGGTCCTATATTTGACAGAGAGAAAGAATGGAACTCAGGCAGTCAGGGTGTCAGGGCTAATAGCTGAGGACAAATGCTGTCACATGCTAGCTTCTCTGACCCAGGACAGGTGGGCGTAGGGACCAAGAACTCTGGTATGGCCCATACCTCCACTCACTAAGAAACCAGCAACCTTCTAGATATTACAATCTCATAAGAACCCTCTAAGCTAGTTTTTAGAAATAAATCTTTATGGCTTTATTCCCGATTATGGAGGTAATGCGTGCTCATTACTAAAAAATAAAACTGCAGAAATACATAACATAAAAAGTGCAGACACTGCACCTCCAATCCAGCAGGCAGGATATAGGCTGTTAGTTATTGTTTGGACATATTTACAGGTGATAGCTATAACTGTCTCCAATTTATAGGTGATGAAACAGATAACTCAAAGAACTTATCCACCGGCTCACAGGAAATAAGTCAAAGCTGGAATTCAAATTCAGGTCTTTCTGACACCTCAGAACTCTGTATGTTCCATTAGGCTGCACTGCCCTATCCCCACACCCTGCTCCCTCATCCCACCACCATCCTCAAAAGTAATTACTACAAGGCACCAACCGGGTTTCCATAACTAGCTTTACAAAGAGAAGCTGCCATCATCCACAGCGTCAGGTTACATGTGAAATAGCAAGGTTAGTGCCACAAGGAGATCTGTTTTCCCAGCCTCGTTTAAATGTATAATCCTCCATCAACATGCTGTTATTTGAGTGAGATGATTATACTTTTCCATCAAAACCAGTGTAGAACAGAAAGCAAAGAGACCCCTGAAGTCAGTAGATCATATCTTATATGTGAGGCCTGGACCTGGAGAGCTCCGGGTTCCAGGTCTGTTATCTCTTAGTTGTTTGTGACCTGGTGCCTCAGTTTCTCCATCTGGATTGTAAAGTGGGTGGATGAACTGACTGCCAACGTGCCTTCTAGCGGCTGGAATGACGGGCAATCTCACTGACGGCTGGTGGGCCTCATGTATCCCATCTAACTTCTAAAATTCTGCTCAACATCTCACTTCAGGCTGAAAGACAGAAAGTTGTCCTGTGTTGCGACTTCTCAAGTATGCCCAGAAAGAAATGAACATGCTTTGAAAATAATGTATAAGGTTATTGTTCTTTTTTTTTTTTTTTTTTTTTGCGGTACGCGGGCCTCTCACTGTTGTGGCCTCTCCCGTTGCGGAGCACAGGCTCCAGACGCGCAGGCTCAGCGGCCATGGCTCACGGGCCCAGCCGCTCCACGGTATGCGGGATCCTCCCGGACCGGGGCACGAACCCATGTCCCCTGCATCGGCAGGCGGACTCTCAACCACTGCGCCACCAGGGAAGCCCTTGCTAGAGTTATTCTAATTAAATGAGTGGATGATAACGAATTTAAATGACTAGCTTATTAGCACTCATTCTTCAGTATGTCTAAATCTCCTATACATAAGGCATCGAGAGAGCTATACTGATGAAACCTTGCCCTCCATGAATATAAATAACTACAGTGTGAAGAAGCGAGAGCTCAGTGTCTAGGATGCTCCGGAGAAGCTCAAGGGACTCTAGTTTGGAGGGATCAGGCAGGGCTTCATGGAGCAGTAGGGATGTGACCTGGGCCCCCGAGAAGGGTCAGAGTAGCAAAGGAAGATGGCGGACGGCATTGCAATGGTGCTGAGGGGTTGCTTCGGTGGAAAGACAGAGGAGGCTGCCTGTGGCTGTAGGCAGTTGGCAACCACTGACAGCCATCAAGCAGGGAAGTGAGGGGCTGTGTCTGTGTTCTCTTCCAACAAAACCTAAAGCCTACGTGATTTCCAGTACGTACAACTATACCTAGCACGTCGTGGGCAGGCAGTATCTCCTGAATGAATCATCTCAGAAATGGCAACCTAATGTCAGGGAATGGATTTGAATTTGCTCTTAAGAGGAAACACGGAGCAGCGCCAAGCATGCAAAACCGGACGACTCTTGGATCTCGAGTATGGACCTGGCAATTTCAGCCCAGAAAATGCACGCGTGAGAGAGGGGAGGGAGCGAAGACTGTTCTTTCACCCTGTAATCACGAGCAGAAATAACATCCCATTATAACCTTTATAGAGAAGAGGCCCTTTCAATGAAAGAGTAACAATGCTGTACAGAATCACTTTGAAGACTTGGCCTTTGGTGTGGAAAATGCTAACATCTGTCAGGGCCCTTCATCTCTAATCAAGCTTCTGCCAGCAGAGTCTACGTGCTTTCTATGTGTGCACGTGTGTAGGCTTATCTACGTACACGTTACATAATTGGACAGACGTGAGAATTCTGACGATTCACAGAATGCCACGTCTGACTTCCAAGGTGAGTTGTGCTCACAGGTGGAGGTGGTAGCATCTTTACCTCAGAACAGCCCAGGTCAAGCCTGGGGACTGTAGGATGAGTATATATATTTTCTCTAAGGCAAACTAATGCCTTTGAAATCATTTCTCCTCCTGGTTTGAGGTAGGCTGACTAGAACCGAGGGGAGCCACAGAGCTTGGAGCTGGAGTGCCTCAGAACCAGGGTGAGTGGAATTCACACCTGTAGGACCTCAGAGCCTAATCTGGGATCACAGCTGCTCCCCACCACGTTGGATGTTTTCAGCCTTTCCCATTACATCAGCTTAAACGGTACCGTCCCCTTTCCTCAGGCTCCTGCCCAGGTTTCCTCCACAGCCCACTCTGTACTGCTGAAGAAAGACACTGAGTCAGGTCAGCCTGCTAGAAAGAAACACTTTAAAGAAATGCGGGGGGCAGGGGGGTGTCCACAGGGGGAGAATAAATCTTAGGATCTTAGAAAGGAAGGAGGGAAGATACTATGTGAGAACATGTCCATGCAAGGTCACCTGAGAACAAAGCCTCTGAAGATGAATAAAAAGTTTCCTCAAAGCACACAGGAAAGCAATTACAGCCCACATGTGTGACACTGGCCATGGGAGCCGGTGGCAGGGGAGATAAAAGTAGAGCCAGATTTGGGGGCACTGAGAGAGCCCGTGACCAATGCAACAATGAAAGGGAGCCTTCCAGGAAGGCAGGGATGGGAACAGAGCACAAAGAACAGGAAGAAGAAGCAGCGCCCTCAACTCAGAGGGGAAGTCAGGCTGAGCAGAGACTGGGGCAGGGGCTTTGTCAATATGTATTTGTCCATCAAGGAGGTCTCGGGGAAAGGAATGAGGAGGGCAGGGAAAATGCCACATCATCTGATATTTTCAATTAGGGGAAGGGTGAGGGTGGGCATTTATATGCTGAATAAATCGTTTCAAATATCTGTATGTGATATGTTAATTAAAATAAAAAGTAGCTTGTGAGTGTTTTGGTTTTTTTTTTTAGGCACAAAAGGTAGGACAGGAGCTCAGGGTTTAAGAGGAGAGTGTGAATTGCCATCTGGAGGCACTTTTAGGTTCAAGTCTAAGAGACAATAAAACAGAGACTTTAACCTGTTGATCTGTTCATCATTAAATATTTATTGAGGACTTCTATGATGGTAGGCCTCGTGCTATGCACTGGAAATGCAGCAGTAAATGAAAACGGTACAGATCCTGTCTTCATGGAGTTTCTATGCTTTTTTTGGATTTTACATTTTACTGTTAATATTTAAAATTGTCTTCATGGAGTTTCTATGCTTTTTTTGGATTTTACATTTTACTGTTAATATTTAAAATTGTGGTAAAATATACATAACATGAAATTTACCGTCTTAACCACCATAGTTCAGTGGCATTAAGTGCATTCACATTGTTGTGCTACTGTCACCACCATCCATCTCCAGAACTCTTTTCACCTTGTGAAACTGAAACTCTATACCCACTAAAAAGCGGCAACTCCCATTCCCCTCTCCACCTAATCCCTAGAAACCACCATGTTACTTTTTGTCTCTGAATTTGACTATTCTCCGTACCTCCTGTAAGTGGAATCATACAGTACTTGTCTTTTTGTGATTGGCTTATTTCATTTACCGTACTGTCCTCAAGTTTTAACCATGTTGCAGCATATGTTAGAATTTCCTTTCTTTTGAAGGCTGAATAATAATATTCCATTGTATGTATGTCGCACATTTTGTTTATCCAGTCCTCTGTCAATGGACATTTGGGTGGCTTCCACCTTTCGGCTATTGTGAATAGCGCTGTTCAAGTCCCTGGTTTCAGTTCTTTGGGGGTATATATCCAGGTATGGAATTGCTGGATCATACGGTAGTCCTGTTTTTAATTTTTTGAGGAACTGCTATACTGTTTCCATAGCAGCTATACCATTTTACATTCCCACTAGCAATGCACAAGGGTTCCAGTTTCTCCACATCTCCATCAATAGTCGTTATTTTCCTTCCTCCATTCCTTCCTTTCTGTCTGTAGCCATTCCAATGGGTAGGATCTATGGTTCTTCAAGACATCTTTATGCTTTATTGTAGAATCTCCTGGTCTACGGGAGATTCTATGACTTCTGGGGTGTGTTTGTGTATGTGTGCGTGTGTGTACACTAGTCTTTTTTGGAAATATTTTTACTATTAGTACCCAAGTCACAACCTACCAAGAGTATGTGGCCATGAAAAAACCCTAACTCCACAAGTAGGAAGGGGCTCTGCGGGTGCCCTCTACTCTTAGAATAAGAGGGAGGTGGTATAGATGTTAAAACCCAAGAGGCCAGATTTTGAGGGATCTGGTCCTACTTGGAAGGGAGGGCTTCCCTGGGAAAAGTCTAACATCGATTCCTCTAATTCATGACAGGAGGAGACATTGGTCCACCACTGCCGACAAGACCAGATAAAGGAGACAGTGCAGGTGAAAAACTGGAATGATGCAGTGATGTTTTAGAATGGGGATCAGAAAGGTGGGCAGGATGTAGTAACAGCAAAATCGTATAATATTCACATTACTCTAGTGCTTATAATGTTTCTAACATTATCACGTGTATTCATCTATTTACAGCCATGTCTTTGGCTACACCACTGCTTATTAACACGTGCAACTTTTCCAGCAGGGTGAAAAAGGAGAAAGTGAGGAAGCAGCTTGCTCCCTTGAGGTCCTGTGTATACAGAGACCCATAGAATGCTGAAGCTAGAAGGGACCTTAGAGGTCACTTAATTCAGTCTTCACCTCACAGATGAGGAAGTGACGAAGTGGCTTTGGGGAAGGTGGAGGTGGAATATTACTCTCTTCTCCCATAAGTAAGTACACATCATCTGGGAAGTGCTGGAGTTAGAAACCAAAGAACTGTTTCTGTGATAACACAGACTCAATTGTCAATCCTTCATTGATACCCTAGATTGGCTGCTTTCTGATTTTATTCCACAACAGCCTCTAGAATGTTTTATAGTCATAAAACATATTCTGTGAATATAACATGCAGACTTGGCTGTCCTATAAATACATATTTTCTTGTAGCTGGATTTAATTTTTCCCCCACAAACTAACTGCCCAGAAAAGGAACTGGGTTTGAATCACCATCCTCTGGAGTGCAGGACCCCAAAGATAACTCCCCTTTTTCCTAATTCTGCCACACAGTGGTGTGAAATGTATATAAAAACAGGGCAGAAAAGCCCCCCCCCGGTATTGCCCACGTATAAGAGGAGGCGGCACCTTGCCACCCACAGGTACACACAGTAGGGGACACCCTGTTTTTGTGAACCAACAGTGAATGTGGCTCTTTGTCAATGGCAGGGCCTGACAACGTCCCTCATTACATTCAGGGTTAGAGCAAGAGTCCCCAGGCTGGCAGGAAAGGCCAAAAGGAAGGCCTGGAGTGGACTCCTAGGAGGGGGGAAGGAGCAGCAGGCAGCCAGAAAGTGTCTCTGAATTTGCGACAGCAGCAAAGGGTCTCAGTAAGTCCAGCAATTAACATATGGGAAACTAAGTGGAAGAAAAGTGAAGGGACTCGCTCAAGACCTTACAATCTATGAGGGGCAAGGCTAAGACAGTTCTCTCTTCTGATTTCCATGCCCCAATTCTTACACTGGTGAAACTTTCTGCCTGTGCTATTACTTTGCTAGAGGCACTTGAGGGGACGCAAAAATCACAGCAGGTTATGCTAAGAAGCCCGCGGCAAGCGGCACTATGGTCACTATGGGCGTATAGTTCTCAAGCTCCCATTTCTGATGCCATGACAAAACGCAGCTTAGTGAGTGAAGGGGGCTTAAGGCTTTTCACTTGTAGATGGAACTTAGTGGATGAGGACAGCTTAAAACCACTGTAATGTGGGCAAGCATATTCAGCACATCCCTGGAGGTTATGCAGGGCTTTGCAGTGCATTAAATTACTCAGAAGCTGTAAAAACCGTTCCTGCCTCCCTTCTGGCCACCCTGAGGGATTCTTATATGACTGGCTCCTGGTTAGCAATCACTTCTGCAGTGAGCCGGTTACAGACTGGAATGTATCATATCCCTAGGTGTGCTGGGGCAGAGAAAAGTTTAAACGATTGACGTAGCTCCACAGTAACTAATCATAGGTCTGTGATCCTCTCACACAGCTGATCAAATCATTTCCAAGCATTTTCTAGAACAATTCTTCTAGACCAATAGACATGCAATGCAAATTACACATGTGATTTTAAATTTTCTATTAAGCACATTAAAAAAGGAAAAGGAAACAGATGAAATTGGGATCAATATATTTAAACTCAATATATCCAAAGTATCGCCACTTCAACAAGTAATAAATGTATATATGTTTTATATTTTTCATACTCAGTCTTCAAAATCGGATATGCGCATACTCACAGCACATCTTGATCCACAATTAGCCATATTTCAAGGCTAAGTAGTCACACAGGGCTCGTGGCTACCATATCGGACATATTACTACCTTTGCCTCTCTCACTGATGTCTGTTTACTCCAATAAAAATAGAAATTTCTCCATCCTGTAGCCATTCCTACCTATCTCAGGGCACTTCCCTTTCCAGGTCTAGTGATTCTAGGTGGTCTTTATTCCATTTCAAATCTCCTCCAACTGTCCATTCAGTCATTAAGTAATCATCACTGAGTACCTACCAAGTGCCGGGTGTTTGTGTTAACTTATGAGGATGTAAAGATAAATATGACATAGACCCTGATATCCGGAGCTCTTGGCTTAGTGGGAAATGCAGGCACATACAGGAGAATTTGGTGAACACTATACAGAGATACATACGAAGGGGTGCACAGAGGAAGGAGTACTGCTTCTTCCAGGGATTCTGGAAAGCATTCACAGAGGTGGGACATTTGCGCTGAGTTTTAAGGGATGACGAAAAATTGTGGAGAGGCAGGGAACGGTGTTTCAGGCATAGGGAAAAGTATGTTCAAGACCTAAGTATGACGATCTGCATGCTCGGAAATGGCAAGTGGCTAGTAGGGCAAGAAGACGGCAAGGAGGGCCTGGAGTGAGGCTGGCGAGGTGAGCTAGACCTCAGATGCCCGAAGACACACTCAGAATTACTGGGGGTCATTCTCCAGAAGGGGGAATCTTAAGGCAGGTTGTAACACAGATTGGAGAGGATAAAAGAGTAAGGAGAGCCTGAATGATGGGGTAGCAGTATGTCTAAAAGGAGGAGATGTGAGCACTCAAGTGAATGAAGGGAGTATAAGAGCACTGTTTTCTGCAGACAGTCTCTCGATGAGGCCTTATGATGGAACCTGGGCAAAGGGGCTAATAGTTAAGGTTTTCCAGGCCCAAACTCATGACGTAGGGGCATCAGGGCAACTAGCATCGTATTTATATAGGACTATTACAACCTGTGGGGATGTGAAAGCGCCACATGGCCTCTTTCCCTGCAGGAACTAATAGGGTTCCCTATGGGTTAATTTAGGCAGTAGGCAGAATCAAGCTAAATTGCAGCCTTGCCAGGGAAATCATGGGTTTATGAGACCCAGCAGGTCTGGGCAGCACCTGACCAGCCTGATCAGATGATGTGGTGGCTTATTTGACTTTGAGTTTTCTAGATGGAGGCTCTGACACTCTCAGGTAAGAACAGGACAACAACAGCATGACATTCACAGTTAGAAGGAGGCTCAGAGATCCCATGGGTTCTCCTTTTATAGATGGGAAAACTGAGTCATGGAGAGGGAAATGGCTTATAAGGTCATATAAGCCATTCAGCAGCACTCACCCTTTGTGGCACCAAAGCCACAGTGAGACTGGTACAACAGGTGCCATGGAGAACTGTTTACCTTCATAGCAAACTCAAGTGGAGAAAGAGAATTAGGCTAGAGAGACACTAGGTAATAAAACTGCCTTTGTGAGCCAACAGTATTTAAATTAGTAGCAATAAACAAGGTACTCACATGGTGAAACGTCTACAAAGTTTGGATCGATATTGTGCAGCAGCTCCACTCTGGGGGACGGGCTTCCTTCACTAGAAAAGAAGTTTTTAGAAAATGTTAATTTCCTCTCTCAAATGGGTATCAATGATTTTAATACTTCCTTTCCTCATATTTACAGGAAATAACAAACCTGCCGGTTAACAACTTGGTCATGAATTCAGAGGCCTCCAAAATGTGTGGTTGTGCATCTTCCAGTAGTCATCACTTGTCTATATTGTCACAATGACTGAATGTTTACATAACAACTTTAAGGTCAAGCACGTGACAATTAAAAAATGAGTCCTGTGACCCTTTGCAATAAATAATCTGGCTGTACTTAAACATGACCATTCGTTACAGCAGTGAAATGAGAACTCAAGTCATCCAGTGTAGACGTCATGCTGAACACTCACAGGGAAATGAAGAAAGAGCATCTGCCGAGATGGCAGCGCCCATATCACAGATGCAACATGCCCTTTAAATATTAGCCTGCGTGAGAAAAACGAATGTCTTCCACGTCTAAATTTACAACGTGGAACTTGTATGTAATACAACTACATGTGAAATAGTTATACTTCTTTAAGATTTTTAAAAATTGTATGTGCAAATACAATCACAACCTACATTACTGTTGAAAAGAACTTGGAGATCAGTTAGTCCAATGCCCTCATGTTACAAATGAGAAAGGCCCATAGTAAGTTACTGGCCAAACAATGGGTAGTGGGTGTTTTTTAAAAATTGGGAGCATAAACACCACGAGATGTATGCCGGGTGTGCATGAGGCACCCATGTCATTTGCTAGTATAGACTCAGCCTTATGGAAGAAGTTGTTAGATATAATTTCAGTCGTTGGACTACTTGATAATCCAATAAAAGGTTGCAAAGTACCATTAACACCATAGGATTTGTCCACATAGGAATAACCAATAAGGCCCCTGAAAATAAGAGGACATGTTTTCAGGTGGTTCAATGTCCACACCCCAAACGCACAGCTAGTTGTCTACATCAGTGGCTTGGGATTTCAAGGACCCATAAATTTTCAAAAAATCTGCATTGTGATTGGCAGCGTTGTATTTGCCAAGTAAGGAAATGTTAAAAACAAAATTCATGAATTAAAAACAAAACCAAAAAACTTTCAACTACCATTACCATAAAATAAAGGTAATTTTAATAGCAACAAAAGGTAGAATGAATACAATCTCAGAATAAGTGACAGTCCTTTAAAGTGAATATGTTTAACTTTAGAATTCTAAAAGATTTCCTTTTTCCTCTCTATTCCATAAAACCCACTAACTAGACAGTGAGAGGGAAATATGCAGAGATGCCTCTAGGCCTGGGGGCAGCACTATGCGGGTGGGGGGGCAATATTTCCCTGGATTCCTCATTTTCTTCCTGAGGCATTTAACTAACTACCTGTATACCATGAGACTGTCAACCGGTCCAAAATGACAGGAACTAGGGTTTGATCCTGGAAGCCCTGAATGCAAGTAGGGATGATGAGCAAAGAAAATGGTGAATGTGAGAAAATCTTAACAGAATGATGATGATGGTGTCTAATTTGTGGGGTTAAAAACAAGCAAACAGAGCTAAAATCTGGATGATAAAAATAGCAAGTAAGTCAGGAGGGGAAATCAGAATGAAAGCATTTTAAAGTCTTTGTATTGTTTGGAAGGGGGTAAGGCTGTTCATTACATTTAGATTTAGCTAAGTAAAATTTGCATGTTAAAATTTTAAGGTAACTTAAAAACAAAGATAGGACTTTTCTGGACCATGGAAGAACAAAACAAAATTCATTCAATCCAAAAAAAGGCAAGAAAGAAGGAGGAACCCCAAAATTTCTCATCTTTAAAAGCAGAGCTCACTGGAATACCCCCAAAGTATTAGGCATGGTTAAATAAAACATATTTTTCTAATAACTTTTAAAGAAAGTTTATCTGTATATTATTCATTTATTTCATTTTTTCATTATTCAGAAGAGCCACAGATATTGCAAAATAAGGGAACTTAATAAGATGAGATGAATTTTGAACACTAAAGCGTTGTGAGTAATCCCAGTGATGAATTACTTGCTGGGAAAAATCATCACAGGCAGAATCATCATGATACAAATCATGATGAAAAAAACAAAAGCCAACCAACCTTCCTAAGTATGCTGTGATGCTACTTTTTAAAATGTACGAATCAGAATATTTTGACGAGGATGTGGTTGGAGATATATGCCAAGGAAATATAATAGAAGACAAGTGATTAAAACAATAACCAAACACCCTAGGGACTCCAAGTTATTAAATAAATCAAGAAAACCAAATGTACATTTAAGGGAACTGAATAAAGTATCATAAATCTTGGGTTACTCCCCATCAAAATGTTAAAAGTTATTAAAATCCCTAGACAAGGTCATGTACCAATTCCCTGGAACTAGTCCTTTGGAAAGTGATGGATTTTAGAAATATTTCCAGGTGAATTTTTTTTAAAAGAGGCATACATACATGGGAAGGGAAGATGGTAATAATGGAAATATGGAAAAATATACACCAACCTGTTAGCTGGGATAGGGGGATGGGTGGGGTGAACTACAAAGACTTTTATTTTCTACAGTGCTTTTTACAACTAGCATGCATTATTACTGTAATCAGGAAAATTTTAAGCTTTTTTAAAGTATAGAACTTGTGAAAACTTCTATGCTTCCATAAAGACATTAAAAAGTATAACAAAGAGAAAACTCAGATATTTTACAGAGTTTGGGAGTTTAAAGATAGGAAAACTATCCAGAACTACAAGGTAGCTCTGCAGTATTTAAATGCATTAGTTGATTTTTGGAATTTAATTGCATGCTACCCACGTATGTGCTATCTCATACTGATAATAACTGATCACGTAATTTCCCTCTCAGGAGTGTAGAAATTTCCCTGTATGTTTAAGATCAGGCTTGCCTTGAGCAAAAACAGTAATGGTTTTAGGGTCACTGAGTTCTCATGTCTCACCGCTTAAGTCACTTCTTTTCATTTTGGTAAAGGGTTCAGAGCCTCAGTGCCTGAGACGGAGGGAATAAGAGGAAAGAGAGGGAGATGTTAGGGAGAAAGGAGGGAGGGAGAAAAGGGAGATGAGGAGGAAGAAGAAGAGGGAGAAGGAAAGAAGGGAGAAGAGACTGTGGGTTTCCTTTAATAGTTACGCACCAAGTTAGCAGAGACTCACTAAAGCACTTAAACGCGCACACACACTACACATATCAACTCCACGTGGCAAATTTCAGTGGAGACAAGGGCATAGTATAGTGATGCTGGAACAGAGAAGTGGACCCAAGTCACCTGGAGAAGAACATGTGCAGAATAAGGCTGGTGGGAGGGATGGGGAGGGTGCGGGATGAAATGAGAGACCGCAAAGACCCGCTCTGCAAAGCTTCATAACTTTGCCTAGGGAATACTTTAGAGTATTTAAAGTGATTCTGCAAAGACCAGTTACGGGTAGAGAGGCACTGGTCATTACAAGGTGAGGCCCACTGTTGGTGAGGGGAATCCTTCAGGCCCAAATGGCACACCCAGGAAGAACACCCCCGACTCAGCTCAGCTTCCACCATCTGTAGGAATTCAATATCCCCAGAATTGAGAAACTGGACACCGATACTGGGACACTGGTACCCTGGTTATTGGGAAGGAATATCTACCACTGGATTAATAAACACTCTTTTTTTATATATATATTAAAAGAAAGGTAAGTTCAGTAAGTAGCCACATATTTTCCAGTGCAGTTTAAAAACAGTCTTCCCTTAAGAACTCACAGGGGCTTCCCTGGTGGCACAGTGGTTGAGAATCCGCCTGTCAATGCAGGGGACACGGGTTCGAGCCCTGGTCCGGGAAGATCCCACATGAAGCGAAGCAACTAAGCCTGTGAGCCACAACTACTGAGCCTGCGTGCTCAACTACTGAGCACATGTGCTGCAACTACTGAAGCCTGCCTGCCCGTGCTCCACAAGAGAAGCCACCGCAATGAGAAGTCTGTGTACCGCAACAAAGATTAGCTCCCGCTCGCCACAGCTAGAGAAAGCCCGTGTGCAGCAATGAAGACCCTACACAGCCATAAATAAACAAACAAACAAATGAATAAAATGTCCTTAAAAAAAAAAAGAACTCACAAACCATTGGCTACTTAAATTTGAGTAGTCTCTAATAATCATATAAAAGATCACACTTCTGTACCTGGAGGGGAAAATGCTTGATCATTTTTTTTCTTTTCTTGTATCTTTTTAGGGCAAACGTTCCCTACTGTTGCTGTACTCCCGTTCCTTCCCCACACCTCTGCAAATTTTTGTCATCAATAATTTCCACTTGCTTATGCATGTTCCTCTACCTTTATGTCAAAAACTAAATAAATAAATTTTATTTTATTTTATTTTATTTTTTTGCGGTACGCGGGCCTCTCACTGTTGTGGCCTCTCCCGTTGTGGAGCACAGGCTCCGGATGCGCAGGCTCAGCGGCTATGGCTCATGGGCCCAGCTGCTCTGCGGCATGTGGGATCTTCCTGGACCGGGGCACGAACCTGTGTCCCCTGCATTGGCAGGTGGACTCTCAACCACTGCGCCACCAGGGAAGCCCATAAATTTTATTTTTAACTATCTTTTCTTCTTTTCACCATTAAACGTCCCCCAAACAGTATGTTTACATCAGTTATCCTCTCTTTGTCTCACATTAGAATCACCTGAGGAACTTCTAAAATACAGATGCTGTACCTCACACCAGAAGCATCACTGGGGGTGGAACCCAGGCGTCAATATTTTTTTGAACTCCCAGATGATTTCAACATTCAGCCAAGATCGAGAACCACTGACCTGGAGCAGTGCTTCTCAAAATATAGATCACCTGGGGATCTCATTAAACTGTGGATTCTGATTTACAGAGCCCAGAGGGTGAGGGGGGCCCAGGAATCTACATTTTTAACAGGTTCCCAAGTGATACTGATGTTGCTGGTCTGAAGACCACACTTTGAGTAGCAAGATGGGGAAATCTAGAGTCTTCTTACCTCGGATCTGAACTCTTCTGGAGTTTCCTAAATCAG